CCAACACCAAGAACCTGTGAACTCCAGGTTCTGGTTCCTACCAATGATCCACATCAACATTTAGTCTGAACATCTAGAACCAGAACCTTGTCTGGTCCAACTTCACCACATCAGGTTCTGCTGATGTTAGAACCTCAACAGCTGGTGAGATGTGACCAGAGACTGGGTTCTAGTAGAACCATGAATCCATCCATAGACAGACACTAACAGGAACTTTCTGGATCAGCACCAGCCTGGTTGGAGGTTTAGCACATTTCTCCATTTCTGAGGACCAATAGTTGAACTGTGTCCCCTGCTGGATCCATCCAGTCACTCTGAGCTGATTCAAACTATTCTGTCACCACGTTTCATGTCTGGTGGACTTTTATTTCTGGAGATGCTGAACGCCGTGTATTCACTGTATTCATGTATCAGAAAGAATGAAACTGAATCCTTGCATCTCAGTGTGTCTAAACATTCATCAGAAGCTCATTTCAGTGCCTGTAAGGCTTTTTAAATGTTCTTATTAATGCTCTTTGCTTATTGTTCTTCTATTAAAAGTCCATAATTTAACCTGTCTGAGCACCACTCCTCTCCTCTGTTGACCTGCTGACCTTCTGGGTTTCAGCTCAGTAAAGCAGAACTCAGTCCCGAGGCGCTGACCTCCCTCCGGACCGCCACCGGTTACCAAGGAAACACCTTGTCCAGAATCCGCGTGTCCGCCTCCAAACCCGACTACGAGATGGGATCGTCCAGTCAGATCAAGCTGTCGTTTGGGAAGAAGGCCGCCCAGCCAGGTACCAGTTGTTTAATCCGTCCATAAGCAGAATTATTCTGCTCCTGTGGGACGGTTTGTTCCTTCACCTCGTATCGAAACACGTGTTTGATGAACCTACGAAGTCTGGCAGCTTTACTACACTGAGAGTTCTACGAGTAAAAATAAAAGCTGTCAGTTAAACCAGAACAATAGAGACGCATGTGACTCTGACTTTATGATCTTTAGTGTCTTTGCTCAAACAAAATCAAGGTTTTTTTTTTCTTAGAATTTCTAAAAACTGATGGAGAACCTCCTGCTCTTTGCTTTAAACACTAAGTCTGACGAGGTCCCGTCCAGTCAGCGTGTGAATGATCTCCGTGCTGCGTCTTCATGTCCACTGACTTCAGATGCTGTCGGTTGTTTTGTTCTCAGACTTGGTGTGAAGCTAACATTTGCTAAATTCTGCGTTTTCAGCAGAGAAACCTGCTCTGGATCCCAACACGGTCAAGATGTGGACGCTGTCGGCCAACGACATGGCCGACGACGACGTGGTGAGTTACGCTCAGAGGTCTGATGATCCACAGAGCAGATGTTTAGAGATGACGAGCCTTCGGTCGATAAACGAACCCAGCTGAAGGACGTCGTTTGGTCCTTGTGGCTCAGGGTGATGCTGGAGGTTTGGTTGTTTTAAATGTTTTGGGGTTTAAATGTAAGCGGGGAGTCATTCTGAGCTTTGAGCTGATGAATCTGATCAAACTGAACAGAGGAAGAACTGGTCTAACGCTGAGAACCTCCTGCATCCACACATAACGCTTCAGAGCTCTGACCAGAGACCACGGCAGACCGTGACAGCTCCGTCATTAGACTGTAAATACCTGTCGTCTGTCCAGGACCTGCTGGACTCCGACGCTCTGCTGGACGAAGACGATCTGAAGAAACCCGACCCAGCGTCTCTCAAAGCTCCGAGCTGTGGAGAAGGAGCCGGCAAGAAGAAGAAGGCCTGCAAGAACTGGTGAGTCTAACACGTGTCTGGAACGGGCTTCCTGGTCATCAGTCAGTAAAGGATGAGTCGTCAAAACGAAGGAGGTAGACGAAGGAGCGTCACGCTGTCATGAGCTCAGAGAGATGAAACAACTTTATTAGTCCCATAAACGGGTCAAAGTCGAATCCAGCTGGTTAATGACCAATAGAAAACAATGAAGTACAACAATCAGTGATGACAACAGGTCAGATGGTGAAACTTAACAGCAGCTGATGGAACACATGGAACCAGGACATCAGGTTTGTGCGGCCCGACCCGCTACACATGCCCACCGAAGCTCATAGTTCTAGCTTAAACAGAACTAGGGGGCGCTGTGGAGCCACTCTGCCACTAACATGCCCAATTCCTTTAAAATATCACAATATATAAAGAAATATAAAGAAAGTAGGATCGTCACAGCGGTTCTGATTATATGTCATTTAAAAAATAAGTAAAATACACTTAAAACTTTTAAAGATTTTCACAACAAACATGTTCATGGAAACACAACGAGATGAAAAAACAAACAAAACAAAACCATCTTTTCCCATCAAATCATCTGATTCNTTTTTTTTTCTGTGATGGAATCTTAAAACAATCGTGTGTTTTGGTTCTTTAGGTTTGAGCTTCCTGTTTCAGTGGTTATCCTCTTTTTTTTTTTTAATCCTGTCCGTAGAAGCTTTTTGTAATCTCAGTTTTTAATAGTTGCTTTTTAAAAAAGTTCCCAGCAGAACCGTTCATCCCACATTTTGGATTCATGGATCATTGGAAAGTGTAAAATGTTTCCAGCTCTTATAAATGCTGTAAAAAAGTTATTTATTTCTTAAAGATGTTTTTCAAACCTGCCGGCAGTCCTGAGGTCCACAGGATTAAATGAGATGATTGTCTGTCTTCCATCGTGGTGCCACTGAAGTTGAACGATGCTCCAGAGGTTCTCCGTGATGTTCAGGAGCTTCATCTGTTTGTGTTTCAGGGACAGAAGCTCAGACGGTCAGAACGGCCGACAAACTGACGTCGACTCTGAAGCTGTCCGGCTTCACGTCGGTGACGGAGGTGAGCGAGAGGATCCACAAAGTCTGAACCTGAAACTAACTTTACTCAGTTCAGATCACATGAGGGAACATGTCGCTGAACCGACACCTAGAACTGACACCTAGAACCCATACCTAGAACCAACACCTATGTATGGTCTAAAGTTGATGAAGCCCAGTTTGACTAACTTTTTTCCCCGTAGCTTTCCAAATGTCCACACTGTATGCCTTGCTGAGGTGTACTCCAAAGACAAAATCCAACTGACACCAAGCTGTTGTTCAAACAGGATTCTTTAGTTCACAAAAAAATTAAATTTGCAGACGAAAAATATAAAGCAAACGAGGATACAAAAGTAGGAGCAGTCAAAAAACTGTTCGGCTCCATGCCATCATTCAATTTCCCAGGATCCCTTGCAGATTTAAGGGACCCTAATATAGCGAACCAAAATATCAAAAACAAATCAATAAACCAAAAGACCACACTAACACAAAATTCCAATATCCAAAAATATGATTAACAACATTTAACCAAATAACAAATAAATTTAGCAAAATAAAAATGTTAATCATAATCTATGTCAAAGTTACTCTTGAACAAAAAATCAAAACCAAATAGAAATAATCGTGGTAAAATAAGAACCAAATCCAAAATCAAAGAAATAGATTTAGGCTCCTACAACCTAGAACCGACATGCAGAACCGACACCTAGAACTGACACCTAGAACCAACACCTAGAACCAACGTCTAGAACCGACACCTAGAACCGACACCTAGAGCCAACACCTAGAACCAACACCTAGAACAAACGTCTAGAACAGACACATAGAACCAACACCTAGAACCGACATGCAGAACCCACACCTAGAACCAACACATAGAACCGACATCTACAACCAACACCTAGAACCGACATGCAGAACCGACACCTAGAACCGACATGCAGAACCAACACCTAGAACCCACACCTAGAACCAACACGTAGAACCAACATCTAGAACCGACACCTAGACCCAACACGCAGAACCAACACCTAGACCCGACACCTAGAACCGACACCTAGAACCGACACCTAGAACCGACATGCAGAACCAACACCTAGACCCGACACCTAGCACCGACACCTAGCACCGACACCTAGAACCGACACCTAGAACCGACATGCAGAACCCACACCTAGACCCAACACCTAGACCCAACACCTAGACCCAACATGTAGACCCAACATATAGACCCAACACCAAGAACCTGTGAACTCCAGGTTCTGGTTCCTACCAATGATCCACATCAACATTTAGTCTGAACATCTAGAACCAGAACCTTGTCTGG